CCCCCCCCCCCCCCGCCCCCCCCCCCCCCCCAAGTAGGAAGAAGACAGAAGTCCTGTAACTCAGGGAGTCCTTTAAGAAAACATGTTGCTTATATAGCTTGGGTTTGGGTATCAGACATCACCTCAGAGAACCAAAAATCGATATTTCAGGACAATAGAGAGAGGTGAGAAGCCCGTAAACAGTTCGGGTTCACCTAAAAATATTCGATTTGGCAACAAAATAGTTGCTTCCATACCCAGACAACAAAAAAATAAGTTAGCTCAGAATATATGTTTGCATTTTTCTTGAGAAAGCAATGGAGTTATCGGCCATTAGGAAACGACAAAAGGATTTTAGTTGCACGGTCTAGCCGAACCTGCACTAGTACGTTAACCGTATTGGCAAGTTTGTTGTTATCTAATGACGATTTATTCTGACTATTATAAACTTTTCCCTTTTATTGACTCCATTTGGTCACTTATGTCCCTTCAATGATATACTTAAAGATTGGTTTAAGTCATTCAGATAACTTCAAAGTTTTCTATGATGGACGTAATTGTCTGGAATCGATAATTCCTTATTATTGAAGAATAGCGATTGTTGACTAATGACTTTACATCTGTTCCATATGTCAGATCATGTTTTTCGCAAGTTTTCCACACTGTTAGATACCTCATCTTCTACGCGCTTCTTTTGAAGTGTATAAGTTGTTGCTTTCTATTGCTTGGTATTCGAGGTCGTTAATGATTTTCCCCTGATCCGATTAGGTTTATCTATTAAATCGTGAAGAATTGTAGGTCCCCTGTCAATCCGATGGAATGTAGTTAAATGCTAGGTGAATTAATTGAGAGATTGTCTTAGAAATATAACGGTGCGTAGTCTTCACTTTTCTCAGCAATCGGGAAACTGGTCTGGAGGGGTTATAAATCAGCCAACTGTCCTCTACTACTGCCACACATTTCACGCTGACTCCCACTGCTACCGATCGCACTGGTTAATGTCTCTCCAGACTAATTTTTCCCATCAAGACTCCCTAATGATGCGTATGTATATGTCCGTGAGTGCGTGTGTAAGTGGAAGCTTTATTGAAATTTTCAACCCCAAAATGGGGGCAATAGATTCTTTAACTCTCTCTCTCTCTCTCTCTCCCATCTCGAGAGTGAGGATCGATGGTTTCGTTAGACACTCCCACACGAATGAACGAATTAGCATCAGACTTACGTCCACAGGAGGTTGAGCTGTATTAATTTTTAGAGAATACGAAAAAATATGTGTTTCCTTTAGTTAAATAGTATCAGATTTTTTTTCTTTATCTTCTTATCATTTGTTAAAATGACTCTCAACCATGTATATTCATAATTACTGAAGTGTTATAGGTTGTTGCTATAACAATGAAAACATATTACTCCCCTCTTCTAATTTGTGGTGTCGCTTTAGAGATCCCAATTACATCGAAAATAAGAAGAGCACACATCACGAGGCTTAACTTGAATTCTAAAATGTAAACATTTGCATCTTATTATAGAATCGGTGGCTTTGAGTGTTAGGGTCATCATTTTTGCACTGTTACCCAGTTTGCAAACTTTTTAGTGCCTACCAATACCTTGAAATCTTAGCCAATTGGACGTTTGGATATGCTTATGAGGAGTCACTCTTAAATCACCGGGTGCATAGATATATATGCACTTAGATCTAAGCGATAAGATTTCCACATGATGATTGACGACTGGAATATGGCTGTCGGAGCATCAGAGTTGCTTTATACCCGGTTTTGACCACAGTTGTCCTGCATCTATGTCTTTAAACGTCATTCCTATCAGTGGACTACACGGGAGTTACTATCATTTTCCAAGGCTCTATCGAAATAACTACTTGGCACTGATGGAAAGAGTTTAATTGCTTGAGACAATACATTATTTATATAGTCTCGTTGTGTTCTGTATGTTTACGACTGCAGCAACTCTTGAGATGGACAAGAGATGCACACACAGAAAGTTGCATAAAAGAAAGGTAGAAATTATTAGCCATCAAAATGGAACTGGTGTTTCAGGGTTCTCTAATAGATGTTACGTGGCTTTCAAAACACAGATAATTAGTCCCAACCCTTCCATCATTCTTAACCAATGTCCAGCCAACTTTGTCTCACTTTATTCCCTGTTAGGGCTACTGTTCTTCATTAAGAATAATTTTCGGAATTTTCGCATTGATCTCTTTAATTATTACTTCTTGCACAATCAGCAATTTCCATTTGAAAATAGAAGAATCTCATTCCCATTACAAGTTAATAAGGTATCCCTTTTTAATTTCCTTGAAATATTTCGAAAATAGATAAATGATTTGATAGAATGGAGAGTCCATTTTCATCTTTAACATCTATAAGATTGGTCACATCCTGGGGAAAACATTCATGCTTGAGTAATTTCTATTTTGTAAAAGTATTCCAACATCATTTAAATTGATTGGCATTTGCATTTTTTTGTAAAAGAAAGGGATACCAGGAAAACACGCTGAATAGAAAGTTTTAGCTGAGTTTTTATTTATAGGTAATTTCCTGAACCACTCGGGTTCTGTTATAGAATCTGGAGCCTTGGCGATTATTACGTCAATTGGAGTTTGTTTTCGAACAACCCGGTTTCGAATGTCATGGTGCTCCGATTGCTCGTCCCGTTCTTGAACATTTATCTATCTGAAACTCCTCACAAGTGTATCTCCAACTTACATTTACTTTGTTGGTTTAAAAAAGTCTTGTTTTTCCTATGGCTTTAAAAAATTGACTGTTTAAAAATCTAACTGAGAGTGAAACGAAAAGGCTTTTCTAGCATTCGAATTTACGAATTCTGTGACGGTCAGTACTTAATCATGTTGCATTGATCTGCAATGCTTTAAGGAAAAAGTGTTCTGGTAGTGTATTCAAAGCAATATATGCGTGTATGGTCTTTAAGCTTAAGTTTCACCTGTCCCAAATAGATCGATTCCTTTGTTAAATGGCCGAACAGGTGCTGTCTCTGTAGTGGTATAATTGACCGCATTAGCCCTAATTCCTTGGCGTCAGGTAAACATTCGTATCAAGTTAAATTCATATTAACACTTACAACTTTTTGCTCCGTGGCTTTCTATTATTGATTTTACTCTTGGTTCGATGCATACTTCTATTGTTCACTGTTATCAATAATCTCTAAATGTCATTGTTCTTTGTAGTCACGGTCGTAAATCAACTCCCGTCGCTGATTCATTTATCAGTAGTAAAGAGTGAGGCAAAAGTGGTTGAATTGCCATGAACTAAAATATCCTTTCTCGTATCGATTTTCGTACACAAACCATCAATATTTCCCAAAATTTTGTTTTTATAATCGATACTTTCACATGTCTTGTTTATTTACATCCAGAAATCATTGATAAATTGTATTGGGAAATCAATTGTGTAAAGCTATTACATTTAAACATAAGTAGATGTAAACTTTCAATTTGGTATTGCTATTTTAAAATTTCATTAATATGAACTGAAACTATCATGTTTTGCGGGAAATTCAAGGCGAGGAAAGAGTAAGTTCTTCTTTTGTCACGCAATTTAAGCATGATTCATTGTCGGCTTTAAGGGGTTTCGTCTGTCTCCTCGGTTCCTTCCTCTATTGTGAATCACTTTTTCCCTTGAGGGGAAAGTAGAATTGTTCATTCAACTGCATCGACTTTATTCTAGCTGTTTTAAGTAAAAAGCCTTGCTTATATGGAATTTTGTTCCCATTGAACGATTTAATTCATTCTTGGGAGATGTAGAGACGGATATCGGCATCATGAGTCGTTTTATCCAAGACACTTCTACCAACTGCTAGAATCTTGATCTTCGATGGTTTTCTAAACAGCTGTAGCGAGTGGTTTACCAAAACGTAACTTGGAATTGTAGCTTTGTAGGCACCTTCAACAGCGCTTCGATACTTTTGCCAAAAGTCTAGACAATGTACCCCTGTCCTAAGATTTTCACTGCCAATTTTTAGATCAATCCGTCTAGGAAGCTATTAGCTTCTGTTTTATTTTTATTCAAACAAATACAACGTGCCTCATCCATTTAACCACGAAAGCTATGACCTTTCTGTGTGTGTTCGGCATCATCGGAAATTTGGCAGGTTTGGCGTACATGAACTGGGCGAATCAAACATGAGGAAGGAATACACTTTCATTATTCCACCCTGTTTGGCAGTCACGGCAGCATATGCTCGCCCTTTTTACAATTTCTTTGCTCCACTGGTGTGGGAAAATTTTGTGAATAAAACTTCTTCCCCCTTGGAAAAGGGGCTCAGCCTTTTTAAGGGCAGGAATTGTGTGTTTATTCCATACTCCCTTGATTTTGGTTTGGGTGTGTTAAGTTTGATTAGTACATGCGCGAAATGGCCGTAATAAGAAAGTCAGTCTGCCCTCCTTTGCGTCGTTGCTGCTGACTCATCACTTGCAGTGTGCGCATGGTGCGTGAGTGCTACCTACACGCCCCAATTATCGACCGACGGCGAGATTCTGCGTGTGTGTGCGCGCGCGCTTAGAAGAACACGCAACGCAACACTGGTCTGTTAATCGACGGCTAACTAAGTGTTTCTGTATCCTTGACCTTATGACACCCATCTGCCCTCGTTTGGCCTTACTCTGATAGCGATGATAGCACGTAACTACTTCCTCTCTTTCTAAATAAACAGCGTCCGGGATATTTCGGCCATTTTGTTAGGGGATCTTGGCACAAATAGCGTCGATGAATACTAAATTTTACAGCATCACTTAACCAACACTTAAACAGCTGTCACAGAGGCAAATAGATTGAATTGTGGGGTTCACTTGAGCGGTTATCGCCCGAGAAATTATTGTTCAATCCTTTTATTTTAATTAACCCTCACCTGAACTTCTGTGTCGTGATTTGAGCCTAAAAGGGCTTTCTTTGAAATTTATGGCTGGTGTAAGTAGTACTTTAGTCATTTTTGACAGTAATCCATTAAGTTAACACCCACTAATGGATGCCTGTCTGGTAACTGCGTAACCGCGTGTTAAGTCTTTATTGTCGACTCCGCGGGCTCGTTTGGTTTACAGACATAAATAATGTAAACATTAGACTTTCCCCGCTGTGTTTGTTGCCGACCTGTGTCCCTCCTACGAAGCCTATTTTGTCTTCCCGTGTACTGAAGAGCGCTCCATTGTTACTATGGCGATGATGACATATAAAAAGGAGATACGGTGGCATTTGGGTAGTGGACGGTGAAAGTTGACTCATTCTACAGCGACTTATTTTATTTGGCAGTTTGCATTGAATGTCTTAGCATCACATGTGATTGGTTCCTCACCGGACCAATCGAATTTGAGTTGGTATTTTGATTGTTTTAAGAATACGAGTCTCAGTCTCATCTGGTGTTGGTCACGCTTTAAGCCAACCAACTCTCAGCTCGTACTTTTATTGGCTAGTTTTATTAATCACCATATCTTTCGTGACAGAATGAGGTGGTCGATCCCCCTGTTTATATTTACTGTTTAAATCCACCCTTTTCCTTATTTTTCCCAGAAATGAGCGTTTTCTAAACCTGTGGTCATACATTTCGATGCAATTTCGCATCTATTGTATAATTTTCTCTTACCGAACGGATTATTTTGGATTGTATTGTATTATTCGCAATCGTCCTCATCAATCATAAATTGGGCACTTAATGCTGTACCCGTCAGTCATCCAAGGCTTTCGGAAGAAATCTAAACCCCTTTACGCGCATGGTTTTGAATCATCATCAGCGTCTTCTCTGATCATCACAATCTGAAATAGTTAAAAATATCATCATCTATCCTTAGTCCTCAAAATTAAATTAAATCAATTAAAAATTAAATTCTAACAGTACAGACTGGGTGCTCAAAAGGGGGGGGGACATTATGTTACTAACCTCTTAGAAGGACTGAAAGTAATTAATTAATAACTAAGGCACTGTTGCTCACTCGCGCGCGTCTGTGTGTGCAACTGACGATTTTGTGTTTCTTTTCATTGCTTGAAAAAATGTAGTGTTTTTCACATTTTTGTGCTCAAATGTGCCCTTTTGTTCGCATCGACTTTCGATATCTCGATGAATTCTTCCTCCCTCCCCCCCCCCTCACGGCTTTCGTTCTAGACTTTTCCTACTTCCCTTTTGTATAGATGAATAAATTGATATTCATTTAGACTACTTGATTCAACAGAACTGGAATTCAAATAATAGCATCAGGACATGAGGGGAATATATCTCACCGTTATTATATATTAGCATGACTTAGGGGTAAGCAAGTGGCTATTTCCAATTCCTCTGTCTGAAGATACACACAAACGGTCTCCTCTTTATCCTCTGCTCGTGTTGCTTCCGACACGGCCCTTAGTTTCAAGGCTGATCGAGTTGAACCTGCGGTTTTTGCGCCTCTATGAGGTGCCCTTATTTGCACGAGTCCTCACATGCCTGAATACTGACACACGTTTGATAGTATTTTGTTGCCGATATAAGAGAATGCGGAATGATTGGAGTAGAAATTAACTATTCTTTCGTTTGATCTTTGAATGTGGGGTCATTGTTGAACATGCTGCGAGGAAAGTCCAAGTTAAATTGATTTGTTTTTACCTTTTATTTGAAGCTTTATGTACTCATTATGTACCGGGTATCTTATCTCCCTCTGCTTTGGAATTTCGAAACTTTACTGTAACGGCTGACAAAGGATGGAATTGTAAGACATTAGTTGTATCGAGTGGTCATTTGCTATTTGTTGGGTTCGATTGTTCCCCCCCCCCCTCCCCCCCTCCCATCTGCATCCCTTTAGTAGACCACAGGGATTTTGTACCGAAATACAGTGTATCAGTTTGTTCAGCCCTACGTTGCAGTCTTGGCCAAAGTAAATCCAAAATTAAAAGTTAGTTTCAATTGATAGCTAAATGTGTGTGTGTGTGTGTGTAAAATGCCATTTAACAGCGTTATCACTCACTTATGGGGGGGGGTACTTGTTTCCTTTAAATCTACAACTGTAGCAACTCGCAACTCTCTTGGAGTAACTAAAATCTTTATATCCGTTTCTATTCATCCTAAACCCCTGCAATTAAAAGGCCATAGCAACACAAGCTATTCTTGGTTTACGTTATAGAGCTTATCCCCCCCCCCTCCACCCCCACCCACTCCACTCCTTTCTTCCTCTTTATTCAATGTTATTTATCAAAATATAATCGGGAAACGAAGAAACGAGGATTTATCATAAATCGGATGCAAGTCAAGTCGTTGAATTGTTACATTCTTCACTTCCTCTTCTAAAGTCAGGTTTTGGTTAGTATGCAGAAAAAACGAACATTTTAGGTGTTAATTATCCAATTTGTACGCGCTAATGGCTCTTGTAATTACTTGGCTCAGTGTTGATAAACAATTCTCACCTCACTCACGGTTCTTTTAAATCCTTCATTTGATTTTTATTGTTCGGCAAATACGCTGATCGAATCATGATAAAATGCTTAGTTTTTTTAATGGATGATTTTTCCCTCATCTGAAACACTGTTCCATACGGAAGTTGAATTAGTATGAAAGGAAATACTTGTGAATTACTTGCACCGGGTTTGCACAAATTTAATAGATTTGACTATTAATGCGATTGCTGTGTTATTATAAGGTTGGTGGAACGTCGTATTACCAAGGGTGGTTTAGTCAATAATAAGGTGAATGAACCTTTGTATGGGAACTGGAATTCTGCCACCCTTTTCTTTAATCCCATTGATCGTTACCCGTTGAATGAACGTGCATCAATATGCATTGAACCTGTGACCTTTAATTTGGTAGAATTTCATCTTGACCCCTACAACGCACAAGTTCACTTAATTACTGATATCAAAATGTCTTTTGGACCTCTCTGAACGATTTAATGCGCCTATTAATGCCTTTTTTGAACTTATTTTCCTCTCTTACAGGCCTCCAAACGTCCCGAGTGTATAGCAGCCTTCGCCCGATTTCGTTACTGCGGTACCTACTGTGGTGGACGTGAGGGTCCACAAGCAGAAGTCTGTCCTGCAGCTTGTGATAACTTCATGAAAACCTGTTTTGCTGACGCTATGTCTTCGAACCCATCCACTTCTCTACCAAGTGTCTGGTCTCAACTCATCAGTAAGTCTATCCACATTTCGTTCATACTTCACGCTCCTCTCCTCCTCCCCCCCCCCCCCCCCCCCACCTCCTCTTCCCATTTCACCATATTCATGATTGCTTGATCGATTACTTGCGCCCCTTTAACTTTGTCATTGGTAATTCAATTTGGAACTTGTTCACTTTTATTCGCCTTTCCGATGCACTCTAAAGCTTGGTAGCAAAGAGTGATGTGCCCTTTTGGCCAAGTAGTGGACTTAGGATCCAATGTTATGGTTTCTTTGGTCAGTAGCTGCTTAAAGGTCTTAAATTCTGCAATCACGCTTTTGTGATTTGTACGTGATAAGCTGCCTGTCTTGCGCAAACCAAACGTTAGCAATACTATATCATTGTACATTTGTCATGATATCATCGTTCATTTATGCACGAGAGGAAACATTAATTTTCAACTGGGGGCGTATGTGTTATCATGAACTTTGACCCACATTTGCCAGTGAATACTCCAGTTTATAATATATATTATTTCTCATAATTCGTAGGAAATCTGTTATCATATTCCTGTTAAAGTTCTCTATGGTTATATGAATTTTACAGTTCGTTTTCATAATCAATTCAGACATGTGATTTAGAGGTGCAAAATCGAGCCTATAATGGGAATTTAGCCTGTATCGTGTTTTATCTCCTATCGATTGCTTTAATTATTCATGTAGGAATTCTGAAATGCAGTGACTTTTTCAACAATCCTTCCAACATGAAAATGTGTTTCTTTTTACTAAGCCCAACTCCATGAATCCGAGCATGTTAGTGTTACAAGTCGGTTGAATAAAAGTACATTTGCTTGTTTGTCATTAGACGAAGCAAGTTAGCCGAAAGTTCGTGGTCAATTATTTTTGTTTATTACGATAACTTTAAAATATAATTGTTGATTGCAAGGGGAGGTAGAACTGTTTGCAAATTTAAAACAAGGAGACAAAGAACACTTATCTTGAGCTAGAATGATAGATCTTGTCTAAATTTGGGCCTTTTAAGAATGCATTTCCAACATAGAATTAATTGTCCATCACGAAAAAATAACTAATTTAAACGTTAGTATAAGGTGGTTGTAATTCGAAAAGTACAATTCGAAAATGATGTACAATTAAATTATCTAAACTCCCAGCCATTTTAAATAAATGCATCAAAATTCAATTTTAATCTTGAAAAACCTCCAATCGCGCTGCGCTTAAGTCGGATGTGGGGAATTCTTGCTGCTTGTTAAGTGGTGTTTTCGAATCCTTTTTTTAAAACAACTGAATTGGAAATGGGCGGAAATTTAAGCGAATTAGTTGTTTTACCAAGGGTTGAGTCGTAGTTTTGATGGGAATAATAATAATTTAAAATCTTAGGTTGTCTCATGCCAGCTACTTTTCTAGAAACTCGATTCCGATTTCATTCATTCTTGTTTGCCAAGGAGAAATTTGAAAATTGGAAGATTTCACAGGTAACGCAAATAAGTGACTCACTATACTAATGGAAGCATACTATATTGGCAAAGTTAGTATTTGGATGGGTTTTCGTGGAAGTTTCCGTTAAAATAAGTCACCTAGACTAAAGATTTAAATTTCATTTCATATGCGCGATAATGGATAGCTTTTCGAATTGTAATTATTATGAAGTCATATATTAGTGAACATAAACGAATAGTAAGGTTTGTTTTTTTAATGCTTGCTCGGTGATATTCTATAAAATTATTTTAAAATGTCATTTTTCTGCTTAAATGATATCTGGGGTTGTAAACGGTGCTATACCTATCCCGATTTCGCTTTTCTCTCCACCTTATCGACGTATAAGCACACTTCTATAACTAACTTAGTGGATTTTTCTTAGCTTTACTAATAACTGTACTTGCTACTTAGTTGGGATTCATCATTAACCTCTGGAGCGATTAAGAGTCATGAGATCTCTCCTTTATGGGATTATGCCAAGGTAGTGAATCACAAACCCGAACACATTCTCTCTAGGTGTACGCGAACACTTTATTGAAGCAAAAAAGAACAACTAATTAACGTCAATTTATCGAAACGCCAGTGATAGGAAACGCGTCGGGAAAAAATTAGGCTAATCTCTCACTTAATTAGTCATCTTCCACAAAAAATCGATAATCTTACTCTCCATTATTGGCGTATAATTAATCTTCCTTCTGTAGAAGCACAAATTAGTCCTAACTTGTGGCAAATCGATAATTTTTTGCCTGTTTCACAAACTTTAAAATCGTTTTGATTTAAAAAAACACATTTGCTTTACTATTTAAATGTCGGAACAACTGCAGCATTTTTGGTAGCTCTCGAAAGAGGAAAGAAAAACAGACTGACTTATGTCATTGGCAAGCGTTTAATAGTTAGGGAAGAAGGAAATATGTTTTTTGCACATGTGTTAACAAGCTAGTGTTTGCTGAATCATGATACGTGAAATAGGTTAGCGGTGTCTAGTCGGTATTTCTCCTAACCACAGGTACAAAATCGACAGGCTTTTCCACATGCGCGCACAAGCGAATGATGCCAAGAAATGACCTTTTTATACATAGTGGCCAAATATAATCCCTCTTTTGCGCATAGAATGCCAAAAAGAAATCCCTCCCCCAAAGCATATCGCATTGCGGTTTGCCATGAAATCGCCCCCTTTTTACCTCCCTTTCGTATTCTTAATACCGTTGTGCGATTACCTACGATAATTAACTATTGAAGCAGTGGGTTTATGAACGCATAATTAGCGTAAAAGCATAAAAAGGGAAACAGTTCGAGATTTTGACTGATAAGGTAGTGACTTGCTGAATGTAAAGTTAGGCGTGAACTAAAACGGAATTGAAAACTTAATACCCACTAAATAATTTGGTTCTATTAATGCGAATTATATTTAATAATTCATTTGTTAAATTCAACCCTTGATATCAGAACTCTCATTGACTTTTATACGAATTATATCAGCTATTAATTATCGCTGGATAATAAGTGGAAAATAGATGTTTGATCTCACAATGAACACATTTCGACTTCCATTATTGATGCTTTTAAACTTAAGAATTGATAAACGATAAATAATTCGAACTTGGATATCTCTATCGAAAGTTACTTTTTTACACATCTCTTAATCTTAACCATCCCCTCGGCTTTCAACTTTCCTTAAAATGCATTTTTTTGAAATTCCTTACTATGCTGCAGTAGATGAGCCAATGGAATTCTGAAGATGACTTGTTTGCTTTGCTTTATTAATTAATAGTATTAATATGTTAAACTTCAGCATAACTTATCGAAATTAGCACCAATTTATCGGAACCTAACATGCACTACTAATTAATGAAATAAAAATTTTCATCTTTAGTTATTTGGCTTAACTAGGATCTATAAATCAATACTCGATCCATTAATTTATACATGTGGCAAAATTACTCACAAGATAATTATCGATCCATCAAGTTGCGCAGACCTCAGCAATCTTGACTTAGGGAAAATATCGGAATATACTAGCATCTATCGTGTATGTAATATTTAGTATGCAATTTTCTCATTTCCACTAACAAGCTTTCGATCAAGTCAGATTTTCACCTCTTCTCCAGTATCTGGGCCGCCCACCACTGACGGTTTCGTTTCGGTTCGGATTCTGATACCAATTTTGCTGCTTAGTCACACAATGATCTGGCCTGTTGTTTTGGTATTTGGCAGTGAAGAAAGCGAGTAATTTACTTGAATCGATATCAGTAAATTTATGAGCATTAGATCTCATCACCTTGAGTGAGAAGTAGAAAAGTTAACGCGCTTTTCTTCCTGACTGCATGTAAAACGTGAAGGATTTGGTGGTTAACATTACAAATTTTCATCCAAGAGGAAATTCGAATGTACCATGTATTTCTAATTCAAAAAATTTCAATGTTCCAGGTAGTAGGGTCATTGGCTTGCATAAGGCATTTACGTGTTTTATTGGGTGTTTTCTATCTCTGACGCTTTTACAGCGCCGAAAACGAAACAAATTGATATTCTGGGTTTCATTTTAGCTTCGTTTGTTAATAGAACCGGCTTTGTTCCCATTTAACAGTTTATTGCATCACCTTCCAACCTAATTTTAATTATTTTGGAGGTCATTGACCGGCAAAACGAGGACGGTAGAATTCTCATCCTTCTTTTTATTTGTCTTCACAGTTATAGGCTTCAATCTTGTACGCGATTTCGTGGGAGTGCCTCATTTTATTTTTTTAAAGTTATTTTAACTTCTAAGGGCTTAGAAAATTAGCAAACCATTTTTTTCTGTTTGGAGAACAGATGCACAAGTAAGAGGGGAAAAAAGGATTTGTCTGTAGAGTGTTAGCTTCTAATTGTCATTTTCAGTTCTAACGATTGCCCATCTGCTTCAATGAAAATTAACATCTATGTTTAATGCGAGCTGTTGTTTCAAAATCTATCAAACGACTTTCACCATCAATTGTCCGAATACTTATTTGCCAATATTTTATGTGCTTCCTTAAGTTTCTACTTTATGCCTTCCTGTTTTGAATGAATCATACAGACCAAAAATCTAACGGAGAGGTAGTTTCTTAGTGACAACCACCCTCCACTATTGATAATTTTGCACTCTTCCCTCAGACAGAAAAAAAGTATATAAAACTTCAACTGGGCTTTTCTTTCTAGATGGTATCATTATGACCACGAAGCGCCTGGAAAGGACGCAAAATTTTGCATCAGTAAATAAGGATCTGCACATATTCCTCTCGGAAGCTATCACCTATGTTCATCAGAAGTATGCCTCGGTGAAACCTTCGGTAAGTCAGTTTTATTTAATTGTTGTAAAAAAACATGTCTTTATTGTTTAGAGATAGTATGTCCGGCGGTAGGCAGTTTATTAAAATCTAATTTCCAACTAGTATTGAAATAATACCCGACGTTGATTACTTTTGGATTCTTGTTTTGTTCTTGTGTGCCTTTCTTTCAAAGTATATTTATATCAAATGGCAGGCGTTTTGGTAGTTATCATTAGCCCTTTAGTTGACTTCAGGCTTTACAGAGGGGAAGGAACATCAAAGTAAAAATAGTCGAGAGGAGGGGGGTGGACAGAAGAGTGTTTCAAAGATGTAAAAGAGAAAGACACAAAGTTAGAAAAAAGGTGGGATGAGTACTATGGAAGTAGTCGAATATGACATACAGTGAGGTGATGGTAGTTTGAAGTCAGAAGTCAATTGCCGATTAATCGACATTTTGCCGTATGAGTATACGTTGTCGACGTGGAGGTAAGTCTATCGCACACCCCTCTTTCAGAGTATATTAATTAATTTGTTAGAATGCAAGCAGTTTACTCGAACGTTTCCTGTTGATGAAATTATATTTTCGGTTTCTTGACCTTTATTCATATATCGAGCACTTGATTCCTCTCCTTTCTCTCTCAGTTATTTAACTAATAACTAGCCTTATTCTTTTAAGCATATTTTCAATGTTTTTTGTTTTGTTTGGACTTCTAAGGACCATATGTGCACTTTAATCTTCATGTCTGTCTCATCTTGACCATCGTAAACGCACACCCACACGCACATCCATCCCTTCTGATTAACCCCGGCCATTTAGAGTAAAATTGCAAAGCCATTTGAATTTTCTTCCACGTCGAAAGAGGCCAATTTTGTTCATTGGTTTTAACAAAGTTTTGGTGGGGGAGGGAGGGAGGGGGAGGGGCGGGGGTTTAGTATTTGTCAATGTTAGACGCCCTCTATCATGCATTAAACATCCCCATAAAATGGTCCTGATGGAATTCATGGCATAAACTTCTTTACTGTAGTCAGTTTTTTATGCTCACTTACTCACTCTTAGAGTCTGTGAGAATGTAATGCAAATATACAAAGTGTCACTTTGATCGACCAATCAGATTGCCCAGTTTCCGTTGTCAACCTCATGGGGCATCCCAGTGTGTGCATATTACTTTCTATTTGAAATTTAATTTGACTGCGTTGTCACCTTTTCTCTCCCTTCAAATGCCTTTGAGTTTTAAGCAAATGTGACTCCAAGAAGAAGATATCGAGTTCACTTTCAAACTGTTTGGCCTCTCGCTTTGATCGTCTATGCGGTTGTGTATTTGCTCCTTTTTATCCCACTTCAGGTGTGTGCGTTAGCGAGTTCAATTCGAAATTTGCCTTTTCCGCGCGCGCGTGTGTGTGTGTGTGTGTGCGTTTAGATGCTTTCTTCTTTTTATATCGCTTCACGTTTACAATTTCCCTAACTTTCTCCCATTCCAATTCTCGACTAAGTATTTCCTGGGACCTGTCCCCAGAAAGAGCGTGCTATCGTGAATCCTTGCGTGACAGTTTTGTTTAATTTCCTATATTTCTTACGTTTATTGCTAATCTATAACACGGAGGAAATCATTGAAGGACTATATTTTACCCCATCTGTAGCCATAAATGTTTGGGGGGGGGGCATTGTTCTAAATTCTTCTCTCTTAATGGCTGTGATTGGTGAATGACTACTAACTCCTTTACGTCGATTGTTTTCTAGAAGTTTTCAAGGTGAATTCATGAGGCTTGCCCCGTTGTATTGTATTGAAATATCTCACCGGAGGCATAAATTGCCTGCCAGATATGAATTCGCCAAGATAATATGCTACTCTTATTGAAGCATGTCGTAAACTTACATGGGTTGTTTATATGCATCACTCAGACAGACTCGGCGAGGTTAAAAAGAGAGAGAGAGATAGAGGAACAACAAACCCCTTTAAACCAGCTAATCTGAAAGCCGATTTCGATGGGTTTTTTTTTCTTGAACACACTGTGACTCGTACTTTCCAATTGTGTATGCGATTACAAAGAATTGTTTGTTAGTGTTATATGATGCATAATGGCATTGGAATGTATTTTGGTCAGTTATAACTTGTAGTTGCTCATTGTTTTTCATTTTCATGACTCAAGTACTTTTCTGATCTATTGATCGGAGCTAATGTATTTGAATATGTTCTCTATTTTGCCACTATGACAGTTTTGTTTAGCTTCCCCCCAAACAGATTTCGATGTGTTGACTAAAAAATAAATATTTTTTATCCATTAAATGTTTTATTGGCTTTTTACTACATTTAATTTCAATTATTGGTAAAAATGAAACTTATCCATCGGGTTTTTCTTCAAACGTACAACTTGTATTCACTAGCTTTTTGGTTGCGCAATAAACTATAACTGCGTTCCTAACAGATCTCACCTTTTCCCAACACTTGTGATCCCTTTTTTGAGTTTAAAGGAGGTTACAAGTCAATCATTCTAATTTCTATTTCATTCTTATCTTGAAGTGGAAGTATGTGCCTTCGGTACAGTCTGTTCGGTATTACTCGGTCTTGGCTTCGTTCCATATCGCTTTGCTAATTCGGATGGTGCAATCAAGTAAATCCTGGAGGAGGGGGGGGGGGCACTTTTCTGCCACTGCTTCCTAATACTCTTTACCTACAGGTTGGCCCCCAAAAATGTATACACACGCTTAAAATAATTGCAATCATAGAGTTTATTATTATTTAATTATTCTGCAGCAGTCTGTCATGCCAAGCATTAGAGAAGACTTTGAAGATGAAGAGTTTTATTTTCAGCTAGATGGGCCACCCCCCCCCCCCCAAACATTACCATCGAGATGTTAGGCATTTCCTTGATGAGGTCTTGCCAAACATGTAGATTGGACGAAGAAGTTTTGTTTAATATCCTCCCCGTTCACACCGGACCTTACATCACAAGATTTTTTCCTATGGGGATACTTAAAAGACGAAGTCTGTGTTACGACACTTGCAACAGACGCTGAATCAAGAGAAGCTATTGAGTATGAATGTGTCCAAGTCCCAAGGGAATTATTTCACGATGTGCGCGATTCCATTTACTTGGCGTTGTCAGCAGTGTCTGGGTTAAAATGGACGTCAGTTTGAGAAGAAGCAGTGAAAAACAAAAAGAAAAACAAAATATACTTGTAAAACAGTTTTACGCTTTTGAAATTATAAAATTCTAATTGAACGCCACGTTTAAAATAAATTTCACTGTGTATACATTTTTTGGAACACCCTGTATGTGCCCTTCTTTACTTTTTTCTTGGGAGCAGGAGTTAAATATCCCAACAAGGTTCACTCGTAATCGCCTGTTGGGTCTCGCACTAATAGAATCGTCTTCAAAACTGCGATTTTTCATTCTTACTTGTACTTTCTCCTCACTGTTAATGGTGTCAATATTGTTGTGTGTGTTCACGGTATTTCGAGACTTGCTGCGCTGTTTCGCACACACGCACACGCACAGTTGGAAGCGATCACGGACACTTGCCTCGTCATCACTGAATGCTTTTTTTCTTTTGATATTTCTGCTTCTCTCTATCCTCTTTCATCTCACCCATCTCTACCTGCCTCTCTTGAAAATAGCCTGTCCACCTATTAGACGCGTGGGTTGCAGAATCTGGTACAGCACACACACACACACACCCCGCCAAATTAGGTGAGGATGAATGCAAATTGCCATCATTAGACCCTCAGGCGCTTCACTCTTAGTGTAGAGGCTTCTTATCACATAAACCAATGCCTCTTTATATTTAGATTCGAATTTATTGCGCGTTAATTGAATAATAAGAACACAGCCGATGATATTTATCACAAATTATAAAATATTTGTTTATTATTAGGAATGACATAATTCCTTTTTATGACTCCTATTCGACTAATAAGAAGTAGCGGTTGTAATTGTCTTCAAATAAGTTTGTTGAAAGCTTAGTATTGTAATTGTAATTAAACCTCTCCAATTACCCCCAAATCTCATCACTCTCAATGACACATAAACGCTTTTCAAGTGATCGCTTTTTCGAAATTTGACTAAAGTGTAGACGCTACCATTTACAATATCTATACGAATTCCATAAACAAATAAAAATGAATTGTCGATGTGTAGGCATTCAAAGTACTTAGAAGTTTCTGCAATAATGTAATGCAAATATTTGCATTAAACAAAGAAAATTTGTTGTTTCGCAAGTTGATGTAAGTATATTATTAGTAATTTTGAAAAATAAATGAACATGCTCAATTTTCTAATTGGAGAAATACTTTCACTTTCTGAATATCGACTTTTAAAGATTCTGAGGGGCACTCAAAGTTCTAATTGTCAATTCATATGATGGTGATGATTTTTTGGTAATACACGTTTATTCAATTTACAAGACCTCTATTGGACATATTAGTATATCGATTTTCGTACATTTTATTTGCTCTGTTATGTAAACTGTGAACCATATTTTTTGTATACTTGTGCGTTTTATGTTACTGATTATTTATAAGTAGCATTTATATTTGTTTTCAGCTCTTGCAAGAATGCAAGTATACCGGAGGTAGCAGCAGAAGTAACTCTAACTCAGCCAGAGGATATAAACCACCAGGTAAGACCACCCTTTATATCATTTGCTACCTTTTTAATGAATGGAAGTATTCAAAATACAGTATATATATATATATATATATATATATATATATACATTAATTAGGATCTAAGTTAATGACCTTGAGTTTGGTGTAACTGATATGGGGTGGGCAGAATTACGATTAACTGGCGAGAGATTTTGTCAGAGAAGTCCTTGGATAATTATTCTCTGCTCAATATGGGTGTTGGAATAAGGTTATCTGCAGCAGAATTGAAACTTGCCTATCATATTTTGTTTTCCATTATTATAGGCAACAGTTGGCCGTTCTCGCATCGTCTGCGTCGATCACTGGATAACTTAACAATTGACAATGAGCCAATTCTCTTACGGCCCAAACGACAGGGCTCATATCCAGGTGCCGTACGTCAGCAGCCAGATCTACAGTCAGCCTGGGGGATGCCACCTGCCCCTATCGGAGGACGTAGCAACCAGATGTCTCCATCGCAGTTACCTCACGGTTCTTCATCCTACCAGTCCTATTTCCAATCAAACCGGCGCGCAGGTGGAGGCGGTGAAAGTATGGGAGGTGTAAACGCTGCTTCTGCAACTAATGCCCCGGAAAAACTCAGCAAATGGGCTACACAACTCAAGTTCTTTGTATGTCTCTTCAGTATCTTTGCTTTCTGCTATGATCTTGTACTGTTTGTCTCTCTGGGTATGGTTCAACCTACCAAAAAAATAGGAAAGAATGAGAAAGAATGAATCAAGCGCCTATTTAATAAACAACTTAAATGCTTCATTAACAAATGGTGCACCATAAAATTATATAACTTGAGTTCGTAAGCCTTCCTGTTAAATAGATTGCCAGGAATCGAACTTAGGCAAGAATTTTCCAGAACATCAATGAAATCAATGGCCACACGCAATTACTTCATAGCTGAGGCTGTGGACAAGTCAAATGTGTCACCGCATTTTTACATATTGAAAATTAATTAATTGTAACAAAATTGACCACAAATTAGTCAAATTTCTACCTGTTTTCATTCAATTTATTATTTTTGTTGCAAAATGTTTTAGCAGCTGGTCGAAATGACCGCTTGAAGTTTGCAATTATTTTCTTTTGCATGAGTCGATCGTAAATAGGGGGGTTTATAGCAGACAAGGTATATAAAGGGTTGACTTTAGGTGAAGGTCTTCACCGGGAGGTCGAGAAATAGTGAGGACAAACCATGAATGTGGGGGGGGGAGTTGAGTGGAAGTAGATTTAGTAATGACTACGCCACATTCGCCATGAAAAGGCACCATGCAGCCGTGGAATTGAATCACATAAACCCTTCAATACCACCTTTACGTCTATTTGTCAGTAACGAGTGCTTAGGTGTTACCGCTATCTTATCCTAATACCAATTTACTCGAGGTGGTGATGTAACGTTGGGAAGTGGTATGAACAAAACCCGAAAAACTTATATTAACACTTTAACGCTCGAAATATGTTTGCAATATGCACTCACGCGTGTCTCACAGCAGACTGATACCGCCGACGTGATGAGTTTTGGTTGTATCAGGCGAAGGCTACATGGACACGTATTGAACATGTTTCAAACGGCAATA